GCTGCGTCTCCACTTGTCCTGTGCATGGGGGTGACTGCTGACCCGTCTCTGTTCCTCGCTGAGCTGAGTGAAGACAGACCGTGGTGTGCCTCCATGCTTGGACACCCATGTTTCTCAGCACAGCTCTCTGTTGTTCTGTTGTATTATTGTGGGGGTCAGGTAAGCTCTTGCAAAGACTCCCATCCGCTTCTGCAGATCAGCCCACACTAATGAGTGACGTGGTACGGGGAGCAGACCTGGGCCCTGTCCTGGCTGCACCCCCAGCTCTGTGACCACTCAGTGCCTCAGGTTCCACCTCTGAGCACGGGTGACATCTTCCTTCGGAGTGGCCAGGAAAAGCGAGTTCACGTAAGGCAAAGGACCAGGCCCACAGCTGTGACCAGTTGCTGTGGGCTTGGCTTCAACTCAGGGTGACCCCTGTGCATCAGAGTAGGCCTGAGTTCCGTGGGGTTTTCAGTGACTGGGCTTTCGGAAGGAGACACCCTTCTTTCCAGGTGAATGTCTGACTGCTGCCAGCAGGAGAGATTCCCGACCCTGGGGTTTGCCTGGTGGTCAGGGGCGTGACCAAGGTCCGTCACCCTGATGCCTCATCCCGGCTGTAGCTTCTCTAGGCCGTTGGGATTTGGGGGTGCAGACTTCCGCGCCTTGTCAGCAGCACCGCCATGGTGGCTGTAGCACCCCAGCTCACCCGCTGTGGTCCACCTGCTTTGGGTAGCCCCCCCCAGGGGATCCCTCGTCTGTGGAGTGAGTGTGTTAGTCACACTGAGTACCTGGAGTTGCTGGGACAGTTGGTGAGCACTGTGTCAGTGCTGGCTGTCACCATGGGACTAGTGGGCAGGGCGGCTGTCACTGCAGGGCGCAGAGACTCTGACTTGGGACCCTCGGTCTGCAAGGGACAGTGGGTGGGGTCCCAGCTGCTTAACCCACCCCATGGCCTGAAGTGAATCAACGGTCTGTTGGCTAGAGGACAGCTGGGTAGTCCTGGAGCACCTGCCCGCCACGTGCTGTCTGGGGGACAAGAAGGAAAGAGACGGTCATCTCGGCCGGTACAGCTGCCACGTGGCAGGTGCTGTGCTTGCCTCCCCCATGGGCCAGGCGACGGGGCTGACAATGGGGGGTAGGTGACAATGGCAGGTGGGTGATGGCGGGGGTGCCAGGGTAACAGGGAGGTGATGATGGGGGGGACAAGTGATGGGGGGCTGGGGGGTGGGGGGTGATGATGGAAGGGTGGGGCGACAGTGGTGGGGCTGGGTGACTAGGGAGGCAGGAGACAATGGTGGGGTGCAGGTGCCCAGAAGGGCACAACTCCCTCTTCTGCAAACATGGCCTGTGCCCTGGGCTGTGTGGTACTGGGAAGGCAGGGATAAGGATAGCCCTGCCCGCTGGAGGTTCCCAGCAAACAATCCCACTTTACTTTCAGAGAGACGCTGTGGGGCTGGGGGGCCTGGAGGGGTCTTTCATCCGTCCTGGTTGCGTAGGGACTGATGAGTATCAGCAGGGATTTCTGAAGAAAGCAAGGCCCCAGACAACCAGAGTAGGAGTCAGCCAGCCCACAGAGGAGGGAGAGGAGGCTTTGCCAACACTGAGGTCTCATTGCAAATGAAATTTCTCTTTTTCTGAAGCCTCTGACTCCCCACTCACAACTCTGAGAACTTTTGTTTCTCGCAGGAAAAGCATGATGTCTAATGGAGTGGGTTGTAGTACCAGCCTTCTCCAGTAGAGGCAACCATCAGCATAGAGTAAGGTCTAATTTGAGAATACCTTAGGCTTGTTGTTAGGTGCCGTGAGGTCATCCCTGACCCTAGCGACTCTATGCACAACAGAATGAAACCCTGCCTGGTCCCGTGCCACCCTCACAGTCCTTGCTATCCTTGAGTCCTCCGTTGCAGCCACGGGGTCCATCCAATCTTGTTGAGGGCCTTCCCTTTTTCACTGACCCTCTGCTTACCAAAGATGATACCCTTTTCCCAGGAATGGTCGGTCCCTTCAGACAACGTGGACCAAACCAGGTGAGACAAAGTCTGGCCATTCTTGCGTCCAAGAAGCACTGGCTATACTTCTTCCAGGACAGATTTGTTCATTCTTCTAGTAGTCCATGGTATCTTCAGTATTCTTCACCAACACCATAAGTCAGAGGTATCAATTCTTCTTAGGTCTTTGTTATTCATGGTCCAGCTTTCCCATATGAGGGAATTGAAAATACCATGGCTTTGGTCAGGCACACCTCAGTCTTCAAAATGTCGTCTTTGCTTCTTAACAGTTTAAAAGAGGTCTTTTGCAGCAGATTTCCCCAGTGCAATATGATGGCCGATTTCTTGACTGCTGCTTCCTTGGGTGTTGATTGTGGATCTAAGTGAAGTGAAGTCCCTGACAGCGTCCATCTTTTCTCCATTTATTGTGATGTTGCTTATTGGTCCATTTATGAGGATTTTTGTTTTCTTTATGTTGTGGTGTAATCCGCACCGTAGTCTTCGATCTTCATCAGTTAAGTGCTTCAAGTCATTGTCATTTTCAGCAAGCAAGGTTGTGTCATCTGTGTATTGCAGGTTGTTGATGAGTCTTCCTCCAGTCCTGATGCCATGTTCCTGATCATATAGTCCAGCTTCTTAGATTATTTGCTCAGCGTACAGATTGAATGAGTTGGTGGAAGGATACAACCCTGATGCACTCCCTTCCTGATTTTAAACGATACTGTGTTCCCTTGTTGTGTTTGAATGACAGCCGCCTGGTCTATGTACAGGTTCCTCATGAATACAGTTCCCCATTCTTCCCATGGGTGCTTACAGACTCAATTCTCTCCATCCTAAATACTGTAGTGCTGAGTAGTGGAGACGAGTTCCCCAGATGCTGTTGGGGGCCTTTCGAGGGGGTGCTTACCTACATGAAGGTTTCCCCTTCCTTGGAGCTAGTCTTGCCCTCTGCGACACCCCCACAGCCTGACTCTGCCGCTAGGGCTCCCAGGCATGGGGTCGCTTTCTCTGAAGACCGGACCCTGGTCGTCCGACAGCCCCTCCTGTGCTGAACACTGAGCTGCGGAGCTGAAGCCCACCTCCCAGCCCCCCGGGATTGAGTTGTGGGGAAAGTCCACTGGCGCCCCAGCCTGCGCCCTGGGACTGGTCGGTGACACAGAGGCCAGTTCCTGTAGTAAGAGCAGTTGTGTTCAGTGGTACTGAGGGGAAAAGTGAGGGGCATCTGGATGCCAGGAGGGATTGGACCAGGTCTCATGGGGTAGGCATCCCTAGGAGGTGACATTTGAGCAAAGGCTTGAGAGTGTGGAGGACAGTGTCTGTGTGGGGCTCTTGGCCCTGGGGGGCGGGCTGCAGGGCCCCTGGATGCCCCAGGGGGCTCTTCCTCCCCACGCTTAGGCTGAGCACCACACCTCCACATACATCTGGACCGGAGAGGCTGGGGCCCGGCCAGGACTGCTCCTGGGGCAGGCCCGAGAGAGGGCCTTCCTGTTCCCAAATGGTCTATTTCCAGATGAAAGTCACTGTGACAAGGGCAGGGCCCTGAGTCCAGCTTACCCCCAGCTCTGGCCTCAGCTGGTCCCAGCTTCTCTGAGCCCATTTCCTCATCTGTAAACAGCATGAAGATGGTGTTTGCCCGGGGCTGTTGTGAGGGCAAGGAAGTTGGGCACGAAGCACGGAGGCCAAGGCCTGGCACCTGGCGGCCATGCCCGCCTGCACCGTGCCAGCACCACATGGCCGTGCCCACGTGTGCTGTGTCAGCATATGCAGGGGAGCAGTGCTGCAGTGCCAGCTTGCAGGGGCCAAAGCTGAGGCAGAGGAACCGTCGAGAGCACCTGGCTCGGTGCCCCGCCCCCCCCCCCCGCCCTGGGACTGAGGTGCAGGCAGAATGAGGTCCTAGGGCTTGCCCAGCAGGACAGGAGTCCGGCAACCTGCTGCCCAGTCTGTGGGGGAGGGAGCGCTCAGGCCACTGTAGCCTCCAGCTGTGTGGGCAGGAAGAGGCCCAAGGCTGCATACCCCGGATGGTCCACATCCCCTTGGAACAGTCCACAAAGATGGCACCCAAGGGGCTGCCTCTGGGCGGAGCTGTAGGCCGTCAGCGCCCTTTGTGCCGTCTGCTCCCCGGGGCTTTTGGGTTCTTCTCCATAAAGGGACTCGTCCCTCTGCTCACCAGCAGCATCCTCCCTTCATCCGTCTGTCCTGCCTCTGCGCCAGGCCTGGGGGCACTAAACACCCTGAGGGCACAGGTGGCCCGGCCACAGCAGCAGGCTGCATCCCAGGGCTAATCCCCAAGGCTGTTTGGTAGAGGACCCCCAGGGCTAGGGTGTGGGGTGCAGTGACCCCTGGGATGGGGTGTGGGGTGTGGTGACCCCAGGGCTGGGGTGTGCAGTGTAGTGTCCCCAGAGACAGGGTGTAGGGTGTGGTGTCCACCAGGATGGGATGTGGGGTATGGTGTCTACTGGGATAGGATATGGGGTTCAGTTTCCCCCAGGTCAGGGTGTGGAGTGCAGTGACCCCTGGGATGGGGTGTGGGGTACAGTATCCCCCGGGACAGAGTAAGGGGTACAGTGACCCTGGGGCTGGGGTGTGGGGTGTGGTGTCCCCCAGGATGGGGTGTGGGGTGCAGTATCCCCCGGATCAGGGTATGGGGTATGGTGTCCACTGCAATGGGGTGTGAGGTGTGGTGACCCCGGGCCTGGGGTGTGGGGTATGGTGACACCGGGGCTAGGGTATAGAATATGGTAACCCTGGGATGGAGTTCCGGTGGCATAGTGCCTGAGACATCTGACTGCTAACCAGAAAGTTGATGGTTCAAACCCACCAGCCACTCTGCAGAAGGGAGACCCGGCAGTCTACTTCTGTAGAGAGCACTTCGGAAACCCAAGGAGGGGTCGTTGTGAGTGGAAATTGACTCAATGGCAGGGAGTTTGGTTCTTTGGTTTGGGTGCGGGGTGTGGTGACACCCCAGCCCTATTGGGGTACCTATAGTCAGGCCCAGGTGAAAACAAGCACACCTGTTCTCTCCTTCCCCAGATGAAGGTCGTAGTGCCCAGAGGAGGTGACAGGAGCAGTGGTGATGACAGTGTGTGTGAGGCCACCAGCTCCAGGCGTAGCAGCTCTCGGGATCGGCTCAGTGACGTGAGTACTGGGGCCTCCGTGGGACACGGTGGGAGGGGACCCAGAAGGCCGTTGCCGCCATCCTGAGCACATGCTGTGTGTCAGTGGGACAAGGCAGTCTAGTGATTAGGGTCCTGTTTTTTTGGGGGGGGCAACTGAAGAAGAGCAGTGAGAGCCGTGTGCGGGGTTAGCTGTACCATCCAGTAGGCCGTGCTGTAGGCAGGGGCTGGGGGCTGTGCTGTGGGGCAGGACTGGGGGGCCATGCTGTGAGCAGGGGCTGGGAAGGGCCATGTTACAGGCAGGGGCTGGGGCCAGGGACTGGGGTACCATACTGGGGAACAGGAACTAGAGAACTGTGCTGGGGGACAGGGATTGAGGGCTGTGCAGGAGGAATAGGGACTGGGGGCTATGCTGGGGGGCAGGGACTGTGGGGCCATGTGGAGGGATACAGGGACTGCAGGCCATGCTGGGAGGCTATGCTGGGGGCAGGGACCAGGGGGCCGTGCAGGGGGGGCAGGCACATGGGGGGCTGTGCTGGGGGCAGGGACTGGGGGACCGTGTAGGGAGACAGGGACTGCAGGCCATGCTGGGAGGCTATGCTGGGGGCAGGGACCAGGGGGCCATGCAGAGGGGGCAGGGACTGGGGGCCGTGCTGGGGGCTGTGGGGGAGTCAGGGACTAGGGGCTATGGGGGAACAGGGACTGGGCGCTGTGCAGGAGGGACAGGGACTGGGGGCTGTGCTAGGAGGCAGGGACTTCCCTCTGGCCTGGTATAGCCTCGTTTCACGCACCTTTGCTGTGTGACTCTGGGACTCTGTTTAGCAGCCTCAGGCCCTCGTTAGAAATGTTGCTGGAGAGTGCTGTTGCTGACTGCCCCCACCCCCGCTTCACCGTGGAAGGTGTGGACTGCATGGGCACCTTATGGCTAGGTCTGGAGACTGTCCATGGGGCCGTCTGTCCTCCCTTGATCCTGAGCTGCCCCCGGTGGCCCAGGTCAGGGTCTTGGAAATTTGGTGTCTGAGCCCTAAGGCCCTGGAGTATCGCATCAGCCACTGCAGCTGGTGGAAAGGCCTCTGGGAACCCCATCAGAGGGAGACCAGTGGGATCCCCGGCTGTCTTACAGAGGTTTCAGAGTGCTGCGGGCGGCCCCAGGGGCTGCAGAGTGGCTGGGGAAGTGGGGAGCTGACCGGGGTCTGGGAGAGGGTTTGCCTAGGGATGGGAGGGGCCCTGTAGCCCTTTCTAAGGCTGGACCGGGGTGTGTGGACCGGGGTGGGGACTGTGTGGGAGTCAGGGACTAGGGGCCATGGGGGGACAGGGACTGGGGACCGTGCTGGGGGCTGTGTGGAGGGTGTGTGGAAGGACTCGGGGGGCGGGGTGGAAGTCCTGGGACCAGTGTCAGGTCTCTGCACTGCAGTCAGAAGTGAGGGAAGCAGAGGTGGGGGTGGGCTACGCTGGTCCCCACGGCCTGCTGCCACCCTGTTCTGTCCCTTGGCCTCACTTCCCATTTCCACCCTCAGCTCCCACTGTCCCCAGCAGCCCTGGGAAGTCAGCCACAGCCTCAAATGAGAGTGGCCAGGCTAGGGTATTGTCCCATGGCCCGGTGGCCTGGTGTTTCATAGATCACGGTTGCGAGGTGCAGCTGGCCTGGACCCGCCATCCTGACGGGCCTCACAGCAGCAGAACTGGGATGTCTTCCGGGCAGTGGGAGCTGTGCCAGGCCACCCAGTGACCACCCACCCGGCTACCGCCTTCCTGAACTGCACACAGCAGATACAGCCTCTTGTCCAAAGGCTTGCCCTGGTGGCCAGGTGTCCTGGCCTCCTTGCCTGGCCACAGCCCCTCCATCACATGCCTCTCCAGGCCCTCCATGAGGACTCTTCAGCCCTTCTGGGAAGCTAGGCAGAGGGGCTCTGTCAGGCCAGAGGAGAGGGCTGGGGCTAGGGCGGGTAGGTGACGTGAGTGTGCAGGGCAAAGTCCCATCTGGGTGCAGAAGGACCTCCTGACATTCAGAAAACCCCCAGGGCGTCAGGCCCTGTGTGGGAACACAAAGCCTGCTGGCCCTGGGGTCTTCATGCTACATCTTGGCCTGACTCTCTGAAAGGCCAGCAGGCTAGGTGTGCAGCACACTGACCCATGTCCTCCAAACCCCACCCCAGGGCTGCTGTGGGCAGCTACCAGGGCTGCAATGTAAGGCTGACTGGCCCCAAACTGGCCTTCAGTACAGTGTGGTCCAGGGGCTGAGAACAGAGGAGGCTGGGATTCCCAGCTGTGGGCGGGCTCCCACTTGGCCCCACCTTGTCTCTAGACTCACCACTGTGGCCAAGGGAGTGGGGCACTCAGACCGTTGGAGCTGGGTCTCATGGCCCACATAGGGGTCAGGGCCTGGAAGTGGTTCCTCGAAGGGGAGCCGGGCCCCAGCGGAAGGTCCTGACTGTCCTTCCTCCTTCCTCCTGCAGAGCTCGGCGCAGGCGGTTTCCGGAAGAGGCTATTCGGTAAGTGTCCTGCCGGATGTGGTTCTGCCTCATCTGTCTGTCTGGAGCTTCCTCAGCTTTCTTGAGTCCTGTCCCACAGGCCAGATCCTGGGGTGGTTCTGGCTCTGGCTGCTGTGTGCTAGAGAGGGCCCCACGGGCAGTCGTCGGGAGGACTCGGGGGGGGTGCTGGAAGGGCCCCACATCGGGAGGGCTCGTGGGGGGGTGCTGGAAGGGCCCCACATCGGGAGGGCTCGGGGGGGGGTGTGCTGGAAGGGCCCCACATCGGGAGGGCTCATGGGGGGGGTGTGCTGGAAGGGCCCCACGGGCGGTTGCCGGGAGGACTCGTGTGGGACACAAGCCACGGGCCTGGTCTTTGCTGGCCCCTCACCCTCCAGGAGCACTGTGCGTGCGGGGAGACTGAGGCCGGCCCTAACCCTGGCCGTCACTCAGGCCTGCTGGGCCTGCTGCTTGCACACCCTGTGTCAGCTCTGTCCCCCGGCTTCACTTCATTTTCCTAAGTATGGAGGACGGTAATGACATTGTAAACTCAGTGCTTTGTAAAAGCCCTTTTCTGCAGATTTACAGCTCCGGGCCCACTGGGTGGCTGCATACCACCCGCCTTGTCTCCCGATTCACTGCACATCCCAGGCCTCAGGGAGCTCCCTAAATCACAGTGACGTTTACAGGATGGGCAATTAACCCGTTAATTACCTGGCTTGGCAGGCCAGGGCTTCAGGCAGCTTGGTGACAGCCCCACCCATTTGTGGTCTGATCCCTGGGGAGAAGCCAGAGGGCCAGCTCTGGGTCTGTGTCTCCAATGTGATTCTTTGTTGGAGGGCAGCTGGTCTGCTCCGGTTACCCAGGCCCACCCTCCTCAGCCAGCTCCTTCTCGCCAAGGCTGTGGGCTCTGTACTGGCCTCTCCCCCAACTTGGTGGCAGTGTCGCCTGGAACGAGTCTTCACGGGATGACTTCACTCCACATCCCCTAGCTGCACAACCTGGGGAGAGTCCTGCATTGCTTATGGCTTACTACTCCCATCTGTCACTGGGGATCCCATCTCTCACTGGGGATCCCATCTCTCACTGGGGGAGAGCCACAGCACCTCTCCCGGGGTGGGGGGACCACGCACATCCTCGCCCTTCATGCCTTTGGTCCCCTCTTCTGTGTGTGACTCCCCTCTCCTGTGCCACAGTCCTGAGGGTCGATCACCAGCCCTGACACACCAGCGTCGTGGCTCAAAGCTCTGTCTTGAGCACCTGCTGGGCCACAGTGTGGAAGCATAGACTCACATGGCCCTTTTGTAAGGACAGGGTGTTTGGGGAAACGGGCCACACGCCTTTCGAGATGCCCTGCAGAGCCTGGCAGGGGCTGTGTGGAGATGGTGGGTGCCTCCATGGCTGCAGTGAGGTCAGGCGCCTGGGACAGATCCATCTCTACCCCCGGGATTGGCTGGGAGGCTGGGGCTCCACAGGCAGGAGAAGGTCTGGGCCCCAGAGGGGGCCCACATGTGTGTAGGGTTCCACGCTGTGGGGGTATGATGTGGTATCTGCCTACATGGCCCATTCCCAGGAAGCCAGTCCCAGTGGAGGGCTGGTTCCTCCACTAGTCACGTCAGTCTAGGGACACCCACTTGATCCTCTGCTGTGTCTGAGGCCCCAGGGTAGCGGGACCTCCCTGCTGAGCCTTCTTGCCAGGTTCCAGGGCAGCCCTTCTGCTCCCAAATCCCCATCTGCCACTCGAACCCCAAGCCCTAAACAACTTCAAGGAACATCTGCTGAGAAAGTTGCAGCTAACAGGCCAGCTGCTAGAAGGCTGACCTCCCCCCACCAACTGCCAAGCAACACATAGTGGTAGGGCCAGGCTGTGAGGGGCCATGGTGCCCAGCCAAGCACAGACAGACTGCAAGGCCCTGATGTATGCAGGTGGGGCCTACAGTGTACAGATGGAGGCCTGGCATGTGCAGACAGAGGCCTGGCGTGTGCAGATGGGGCCTGATGTGTACAGGTGCAGATGGGGCCTGGCACGTACAGACAGAGGCCTGGCATGTGCAGATGGGGCCTGATGTGTGCAGGCAGGGACTAATCAGTGCAGATGGGGCCTGGCACATACAGACAGAGGCCTGGTATGTACAGATGGGACCTGGAATGTACAGAGGCCTGGCGTGCGCAGACAGGGACTAACCTGGGACTGACCTGTGCAGACAGGGCCTGGCATATGCAGATGGGGCCTGACGTGTGCAGGCAGGGATTAACCTGTGCAGACTAAGCCTGGCATGTATAGATAGAAGCCTGCCATATGCAGGCAGAACCTGACATGTGATAGAGGCCTGGTGTATACAGATGGGACCTGCCGTGTACAGATAGAGGTCTGGTGTGTGCAGTCAGGGCCTGACATGCAGAGGGGGCCTGGAGTGTGCAGATGGGTCCTGAGGTGTGCAAACAGACTGGCATGTGCAGCTGTGCACAGTAGCTGTGGGCAGGTTGTGACTGTGTGTCTGTGTGTCTCCAGTCCTCTGTGAGTGCCCCATGTGTGTCTGCGTGCTCCACGTGCTGCTGCAGGTATGTACATCTGGTCTCACGGGCATGTGTGTGTGTGTGGCTGCTGGGCACCACGTGTGGGTGCCCATCCACCTGTGCCTGTGGTTGGGGCCTGGGCACAGTGAGGAAGTGCTGCTGGGGCCGTCTGCTGCCTCCTGCCCGCTGACAGCATCCCTGCACTTAGTGACGTGGGCATTTATCACACAGCCTGGCTTTATAGGCTGTGCTTCAAAGGGGTTTACTTTTGCTGAGATTTATTTCCAGCCACTTTCCGATGATGGCCACTCTTAGCAGCTTTTACCCCGGAAGCTCGGTGCAGCCTCCCCAGCATGCCATCAGACATTAGGGCTGTAAAGTTAGTTAGAACGTCATCTGATTGGGTTAGTTGCCGCAAAGGACGAACTGATCCATCGCCCCCAGGAGCAGGGGGCCGGGCTCCCTCCGTCAGAGAGATCGGAGTGTGACGTGTATGGCGTGTGTGACGTGTGTGGCATGTGTGACAGCCCCACCCTCCCTCCGCCCACCCACAGTCGGTAGAATGTTCTGGAAGGGGCCCCTGTGCCCAACAGCTGGGTGGTGGCTGCAGACTGAAGCCAAGGAGGCAGGGCAGCAGCAGTGACACTGAACAGTAACGGCCCTGGTGACAGCTTGTCTGCTGTCCACGACAACGCCCAGCGATGCTGGCACTGTAGGCTTGTTGGTGCCCTGCCCTGCTGCCTCCAGGGGACTCCTGTCTTCCACCTGTGGAAATGGAGGCACAGTGTGGCCCCAGCTGTCGTGGCACTGTGGGGTTGGACACTTTCTGGCTGCCCACATCTCCGCAAGGGCCCCCTGCCTCACTTCCTGCCCTGGCCCCTGGTCGCCACGGCACTAGGAAGGCTGTCAGTAGCAGAGTGTGGTTAGGGTCAGGGGCCACCACACCCCAGGCCGGAGGTCAGCCGCAGGGCCCAGTGGTGGGTGGTCCGTGGGAGGTCTCCGGACACTGCTTTCCTGGTCAGCAGCAGGATTTTTGGAAATTGCTTTTCAGTTGCCAGTGGGCCCCCGTATGACCTGCTCTCCTGCCTGTCCTCAGCACCCTGCAGGGACCGTGGCCTCTGGAGTTACCAGACCCTCAGGGGCTTTGAGGGAGGGAGGCCACCACAGCCATGGCTGATCTTTCTGTTTCCTTCACCTCAAAGCCCAGATGGGGTGTACCAGGTGAAGTTAAAGAAAGTGTCTATAAACAAGAATGTGGAACAGGGTTAAGGTTGGTCGGTGAGTGGGCATGTAACCAGAGTTTGCAAGAGCCTCACCTGTGGGCACCCCCAGCCAGCAGTAGCAGCTGAATGAAGAGTTGGCCGTGTCTGGTACTGCCAGAAACCCAGCAGGCCCTGCAGGGAACCGGGTGGGCAGTCTCTGAGGGAGTGGAGCCCGGCACCAAGGTGCTTCTTGAAAGCACGGGCGCACATCCCCCCCCAGCTGGCATCATCACCGTTCTCTTTCCCCTGACAGTGTCCTGGGACCCCAAGGTCTCTAGACCTCACTTTGAGTCCTGCCAGGAGGAGGGTGAGGAAGGAGGAAAGAAGGGAGGGCTATGGGGAGTGAAGGGGTGTGATGGGAGAGTGGGGAGTAGTGACCCTTAGGTGAGAAGTCTCAAGACCTCTTCCTGGTGCCCAGACCTACCCCGGCTTTCACCCCATGCGCCGGCAGCCCCCGCCCCAGCAAATGGCAGGATGTTTGGCTCCTGGTCCTGTACAATGGGGTTGTGCTCCCCTCTCCTTGGCAGTGGGGCACTTGGCTACTCAGTGCTCATTCAGTGCCCACGTGCACACATATGCAGCACACCCTGGCTTGCACATACACACTTGCATGCATGCATACCTGCAACACACATGAGCACATAGACAGACACGCACACACTTGCATGCACACATACATGCACACATTTGCATGCATGCAGACACAGCACACACTTGTGCGGACATGCACACACTTGAAAACATGTGCAGCTCGTGCACATGCACACAGAGCGCACACGCTTGCACGCATGCACTATTGGGCATGCACACACTAGCATGCCCATGCATGTGGACACACAGCACACACTTGCATACACACATGCAGCACACTTGCATATACATGTATGCACACACTTGTATGCACACACATGCACTTACACATGCATGCACGCAGTTGCACACATGCACACAGGTAAGACATGCTTGCACACATGTATGCACACACATGCATGCATGCAATTGTGTGCATACACTTGCAAGCACGCACACACTTGCATGCACACGTATGCATGCATGCACTTGCATGCACGCACACACTCATACATGCCAGCCTTTCTTTATGAGCCAGATTTATGACGTTCATTACTCTGCTGCACAGGCCGTCTCCAAGCAGCCATAATTTGTACAAGAGCAATAAAACCCGTCATCCCTTTCTCCGGAGTTAGGAGCCCATTCTCCTTCTGACCTTTGCGCAAGGGATGGTCA